TGTAATTCTCTCGTTGCGGATATAAAATAATAAAAGTTCCATAAACGCAGCTATACTATACTATAAATACACCTATTTTAATATCGAAAATTTAAAATCGAGGAAAAATATTTTGAAAACTTTTATCAGTGTGAAATAATATATAAACTTTATGTTACCATGTTTTGATACGAAAAGTGTAAAAATTACACATTTTCATTTATTCATAAAGGAAATTATCCTTCTTTTTATACACCTGCGTAAAATATTTCACAAAAATTCGACAAAAGTGCGTATCGCATTTTGCACAACGAATTTCCAAATTCATCAAGAAAGATCTAAATTTAATTCGTCTTTCCATTTCGTTAAAGAGAGTTTAAAACAGAATGTTTCAAGAAATTCGTATAAATTGATCTTACGTTATCAAAAATTTCGAAACAAATATAAATTATTTTATAAAAATTCTAACCCCCATATAATCGAATAAACCATTGCTACGAAAATTTCGCGTCCATCATACGAACATACGTAATAAATAACGTTATAACGTATAATTTCTCGCTGTTTGTATTGAGAGAAAAAAAAGAGAAAGAAAAGAAAAATAATGTATCGTCTACGATGAAAGATACAAAGTGATTCGTGGTTTCTACCATTCTCATTCAAGTACCATCGTTTTATACGTTCATTTTGGCGTGCACACACGTAGCGCAACGGTGTAGCAACAGCGCAGTATAGATTTCATGCTTCAAATTCTACATGGTGAATGAACAAAGCGCGACACGCCGACGTCTACGTTAATTTATATGGCCGCCCCCGTACAATAACTCGATCAATTTATTCATTACGATGAATGCATTATCGCTGATTTATTGGCTGGCCTGGCATTGTTTTAAATGCCCGAAAGGCGATCCTTCTAGATGTTTATATACACGCTCCGACAATAATAATAATAATAATAATAATAATAATAATTCGACGTTGACACGTAGCAATTGACACGTGGCGAATTAAAAAAGTTTTCGAGTAAATTCTTCCTGTAATTACCTATATTAATATATAATCAATAACTTGATCCACAAATAGTTATATTTCTACGATATCATTGTTACAAAACGTCAAAGGTATCGTTACGATAACCTTCGAGTTTAAAAATATATTATACGAAGAAATCTTTGTTAAAGATTTTCTTTGAAATTTATAAACATCGTCGAATACCACGAATTTTCCTTTTCCCAGAATTTCACGATCCTCGAGAAATCGAAGCAACGAGAACCGCGATTCGAATAATTCGTGTATCCGATTCGGTGTGCGAATCGAACAGCCGGCCGCGTCTTCCAGATAATCTGATCAATAATCCATCTCCATCGGTGGTCGTCGCGCGGACCAATTTCGGCGACCGCGTCGAATAATCGGTTCGCCGCTCGAATTTTCCCCTCCCGTCCCGTTTTCATGATTTACGCGCGTCGACACCGATTCCTCCCAACAATTGTGGATATACGAACGATCGCCCACGCTCTGTCCTTCACTGTGTTTTCTCTTTTCCAACTTTTTACCTCGATCCGTGCTTTAAATACTTTTTGCAAATTTTTGAAAAAGCAACACGATCGAACAAGTAGTAGTAGATTGACGGTTGGAGCCAAGCAAGGCTTGGTTGGACTTAAACAGATACGGAAGAATCACGAGATGCGTGCACATAATTCATCTTCCTTCCCAGCAAGTATCTGCCAGCATTCGTTCCTCTTCCTTCAACGTTATTGGCGGAAGCCAATAAAGCACGAACGAAACGTACGCAGCATTAAACGGCATCGTTCCATCAATCGTGAAAGTCGCGGGAGTCAAAGGGAGCGCGTTGTGTCGATCGATCGACGGGGAGAGGGAAGGGGAAGCTCATTCGCGAAATCTGGCTGAACGGCGCGGCTGTACGTGGCAGCTGTACGTGAATCCGTGAGATCCGACAGTTGCAATTTTACCGCATCTTGTCACCATCCAATCTACAATGCCCACCCCCTTTCCTCCTCCTCGCGCTTTTTCCATCGCGCTTGTTCTCTCCACCTCCCTATCCCTCCCCTCCTTCCTATTCTTCGTATCGATATTTGTCCGATATTTGTTCCTCTTCTCCTCCTCGTTTCTTCCCTCCCTTTTAAGGAGAAAAAATAGTTTTCACGAAGGATAATTTTGTCTTGCAATTAATTCTTCTCTGATCGGGGAGAGGATAATTTAATCTCTGACGAACGAATATTTTTGCGATTAAAAAAAAGCAGTTCTTCCTTTCTATTCTCGTGCAATGTTTTATACCGTCGTTATCGGTTTATTGCGTGTTTCGAATCGTATCTTTGCGCGTGATTCTGTTTTCACTCCCCCCCCCCCTCCTTTTTTTTTTGAACCGCCGAGCGAAGCGACACATCGTCGCTCGAGATCAGTGGAACAAGTGAATCATAGTTTATTTTTCTTCGTTAAATATATTCTCCCCTTACTTCAAATCAACTTTCACAACCTGTATTCCTCCCTCCCTCATGGTTATTACTACGTGTTTTTAATTTAATAATAGTATTCGATGCACATATATAATTAATCAATGCGCAAAATTCCACGACAATTTTTTCTCCTTTCTCACGAAAAAAATGAAATATTTCCACGAATTTCGATCCGATATCGACGGATCGCCGTCGTTTTCGAATCACGCGCGAAACACAGGGAGGGAGAAGGGAAGAGAGGCGAATAACTCATAATTGCCGTCGCACATGTTAAATGACACAAAAAAGGCCCCGTGGGAAACTGCGGACCTCAAGAACGTTTGTTATTGGATTCTGCAATTATCCACCCGGCAATAATCGTTCGCACCGCAACCGATTGGAGGGGGGGTAATTGCTCGACACGTGTGGAAAATGGCCAGGGTTCCGGTTCAATTTTCCGTTTTTAGTAGGCAATTTCGGCGAATTTGAATGGGCGAGAAAGAAAGAAAGAAGGAGGGAAAAAAAAAAAAAGAAACGAGGAGAGAGAAAATAACGCATCGTTTCGTTTCGTTCGAATCGGTTGGTATTTTCAAATTTCTTCGATTAGCAGGGGAGAGAACGAACGAGTCCATAAATCGGAATAATAATTTAATGAATCGAATCGTCTCGGGGTAGTTCGAATCGATTTTAACATGTAAAAGTTTTTATTTTAGACTTCTCTTTCTCGTCGAAAAAATTCAAAAAGATTGAATTAACGTCGAATCTATATTTAATATTTTAAATATTGATTATCATCGAATTCCTTGCAATTAAATCTCAAATTTAATTTCTTTTGGATTGAAATTCGATTCGAAATTCAATACACGATTTTTTTCCAAAAAGTAAAATTTATTTATTTACGTTTTTGCAAAAAGTGGTATGTACGTATGTATGGGCGGGCACGTGGCGCACTACTAATCTACGTATGCATGGTGAAAGAGAAATCACGATGTGCGGCATGCCAGCCAAGTGGAATCGCAGTGTGCATGAGCGGACCACCAATGACGAACTTATTCATGCCGTGAAATGTATCATGCATTAACAAGAACCCTGCCGTTATATAAGCCGATGAATTTCAGTTATTTAACCGCGAAGCGGACATTCAAAACAAATTCGTTACTGTTTAAACCGTGATATTACGTTGATAAATACAAAATACCGATATCCCTCCATTTTCAGAACGAGAGAAAAGAAAAAGAAAAGAATATCAAGATTATTTTATAAGAGTATTAAATATCAAAGAAATTCGATCGACAATTTCAGAGAAAATATTTCGCGTTAAAAAAGGGATGAAAATAAGAGGAAGGGGTAAGAAAACTCTCGAATGATTCCCGAAAATACACCGGTCTCTTACTCTTTCGACGACGAGCTGGGACGATATCGACGCGTTGTAAATTGCTTCATGTTTCTGACGCGTCGATAACGTACGAGTGCTCGCATATTTCGTTCCGTGTCATTGTAGCCGGGGCCATCCGAGCCAAGGATGAGGGTGGAAAAAAAAAAAAAGAAAAAAAAAGGAGAAAAAACGTATCGACGTATAACTACGTCATACATTTAGAATCCCTCGACACCCCCTGAATTATAACGACGACGTCGAAACGGTTCTGCAACCTTTTTCAACCGTGCTTTTTGCTCCCTTCCATTCCTCCTCTCCTCCTCTCTCGCCTCTATCCTATCCTTTTACGATACTTTCCCCGAATAAGTTCGTGCTACATCTCCATGAAAATTAAGTAGGTTTCGAGGAATATCGTATTCGGCCGTCTGTTTTACTTTTCACTCGTTATCGATCACTTTTTCTCTTTCCTTTCTTCGCTATCGATTTTTCCAATTTGACAAACAATTTAATAATTACACTCGTTGTTATTCGCGTTTTATTTGGAGAATCGTCTCGTTTGATGATCGGTAATGCATTTCCATATTCTTGCATGACAAAATAATTTTTTGAATTTTCTTGAAACAAACAAACTAACCAAATACTAATTTTTTAAAATTCGTTTTACGAGTGAAATTATTTCTTCTACATAATTCAAAACATATACATGTACAAAATTGCCAATAAAAATAATTACGATATAAAACTGTATTAAACTATATTTTTGCAATTATACAAGATACACACTTAGCAAAACTAATTTAATTACTTTTTAATCATTTTCTCTTCGCATAATCTACGCACAGTACATACAATATCCATACGTATTGTAAAAATCATCTTTCAAATTCTCCATTCCTCCCAGATAGAAACGAAATGGCGGAGGAAAGGAGAGCGCGAGTGATAAGCACGGTTAATCCGTTTAATTTCCAGGAGTACATTGCTGGACGTGTGCGCGGTATACGCGAAATCGCCGAATATCCGTGGAGAAAAGAAAACATCGATGCGGGGAATATTTTGGTTTTCTTCGAGTGTGCGCCCCTTTGATGAGGAATGCATGCGCGATCGCGGGCGCTGCATTTTTTATGAGCCACGGGAGAGATCGAATAACCGAAGCCCTGGGTTATTCCAGGTGAAAAGAAAAAAAAAAAAAAAAGAAGAAGCTCTGGACGGTCGGTGAAAACTCATGAATGCTATCCGGTACGAATCGATTCGTGATTAATATTCGTGCCGGATGTCAGTTTCTGATAGCAATATTTTCCCTTCCTACTTTTGCAAGAAGGTTTTATTTTTTCTACGTACGACGCGAGTTGAAGGAAAATGCGAGTATAGAGATCGAAGAAATTCGAATTTTGATTTGGAGGATTAATCGATGCTTCGTAAATTTTTAATTAATACAAATATTGTATATTACGTGGTAGACGAGCTAACATTAATATTAATGTCGAAACGTTTTACAACACATTATGTGTATTTATGGAAAAGTTAAGATGAAATAAGACGCGAGGATTTTCCAGATTCGAAGAAGATGCGAGTATATGGATCGAAGAAATTCGAATTTTGATTTGGAGGATTAATCGATGCTTCGTAAATTTTTAATTAATACAAATATTGTATATTACGTGGTAGACGAGCTAACATTAATATTAATGTCGAAACGTTTTACAACACATTATGTGTATTTATGGAAAAGTTAAGATGAAATAAGACGCGAGGATTTTCCAGATTCGAAGAAGATGCGAGTATATGGATCGAAGAAATTCGAATTTTGATTTGGAGGATTAATCGATGCTTCGTGGTGAATTTGTAATTTGATATAAATATTTTACGGTAGAGGAGCTAGCTGTGTGTATTTAAGGAGGAAAAGTCGCGATAAAAGACGTGAGACGATGTGGTCAGGAAAGGATAATTACGCGATGGTGTGTGGTCAGGTGATCGCGATAGTGTGTGCGTGGTACGTGACCGTATGTAATCAGGCAGGTAGCGTTATAGGACGTATATAATCGAGAGGATCGTATATAATCCGACAAGTAGTTCTATGCATCACTGTGCAAGTAGTATTCGCCGGTGCGTGGTCGGACAAGCGAGATTGCTCGTGGTTACGATGGCTAAAATGTATGTGTGGACTATTAATTTACAACGTGTGTGTGTACACACGTGTGTGAACACATTCATATTCAATATTCTTACCATTCGATGCACAGCGAATAAATATTGTGCGTTAATTTGTATTTTGTCTACTTTCACTTTGTGAAAGTTTCGTAATTTTTATTCGTACGTTTCGTACGTATAATATATCAACCTGAGATTGAAAATTTGTTATAAATTTAAGCAAATAAATATTTAATGGTATTTTTTAATAATAAAGACATTAGACTAGCGACAGAGTGCAATATTAGATTCTCCAGTCGATGCTCCAGTTTTGAGACGATTGTCTGAATATTGCATATACTCGATTTAACGTCTATCTACATCAACGTATATGTATACACGGTGAGTAATTTAAAAGCAATCTGACAGATCGTTCGATTAATATACTCGTTGTGATAATATAAACCTGACTCTTTTAAATTGCAGCTACAGAATCGATATACTCTATAAAAATTCGCATATTTCAATATTGCGAATTATTAATATTATCGTAGTATCGAAGAATACTATTAAAAAAATAAACAGAAATAATATAATTGTAAAATTAAAAAAAATTGTTTTAAAACAATTCAACTACGAAATGAAAATAATCAATCGATTAAATAGTAGATTAATATCGACGATATAGAAGTTGAAACAACGATTTCACTCGTTTATCAACAATTCGCTCGCGAGATAAAAATTTTGTTCCAATTAATTAAATCTCATCATCGAATCTAAATATCAAACACAAACATCGACACAGACATCAAAGATCGATGTTTCAAAAAGTTTATAATTGCCAGGCGAGTAATTTTCCATTTTAAAATTAATCTCGAACGAAGAAGGGAAAGAAGACGAGGAGGAGGAGGAATGTTTGCTCGATGATGGCGCTCGCGTCGAGCCTAAGGCGATTATGACACCGCCTCTGGATCTCGAAAATCTCATTACTGTCTCGACGCCAGTGTTCTCGAGCTGCCTCCAAAGCGGAGGGACTCAAAGAAAAGAGAAGAAGCGGATCGAGGCAGACGAAGGAGAAACGGAGAAACACCGAAAAAGATCGACGAAAGCGGAAGTTACGCAAAAAAAAGCGGACAGAGTTTGAATTTCGATTGCAATTTCCACAAGTTACGTGGAAATATTAACAATAATATTACAATAATTAATCTAAAATATAATCGAGATATGATCCTTGATAAATCTTCTCGATTACCAAGGATTGAACGTCGTCTGTTTGAAGCGAGGACGATCTATTGCAATAACAATATTACCAAATATCAAAAATATTATAATAAATAAATTATAATTTCGAATTATTTGAATATAGCTAATTTCCAATCGTTGAACCAAGATGAACCACACATCTTTTCGTTTTCTTATCTTAAAATTTTTCTCACCGAGAAAAGCTGCAATTCCAATCGGAATCGAGAATACGACTTAAGATCAACCCTGCCTGAGAAAAACTTAACGCAGAAGAAATATTCTCGACCAAGAGTGAATCAAAAAAAGAAAAAAAAAATACCATTCACAAAGAAGACTCGCTTCGCCACTCGGCTCGGTACAAAAGAAAAATGTAACAAGGATTAAAAGGCGTCGAAGCCGACTTACAAAAAAAAAAAAAAAGAACTTGATCAAGAGCGAGGAATTTACGAATGGAATTTAAGAGAAAGACACGCAAAGAGAGAGAGAGAGAGAGTAAGAGAGCTGTGGAGAGAAAAGTCAACAGCCGGGAAAGGAAAAACCAACAGAGGAGAGGATCGGTGAACGCGAGAAAATCGAGGGGAAAGAAGAAAGGAAGGAAGGAAGGAAGGAGTTTTGGGAGAGAGGAAAGAAGGAAGAGGGTCGAAAGAGGGTGGTTCGTCCGGGATTCCAAAGTCGACGAGAGAGTAGGTAGTCACGTCGACGTGAAAGATCGTAATTGCGAATTCGTTGACCCGCGAGTCGAGTGAGCTTTTCCACCAACTCGCGATAGGGGGCTCGACGTTGGCTCGAGAGGGGAGAGGGGTTGGAGAGGGAGGAGGAAGGGAGATGGAAAAAAAAAGAGAGGGAAGGGAGCGAAGGACGGAGATAGAGGAGGCAGCGGTTACACAGGGGAGAAAAGCAAGGAGGAGAAGAGGGGTGGGAGGGAAAGAGGCGCGAGCAAACAGACTTTGCGATCGTTTATTTTTCTGGCAATTATATTCTTCCGTGAAAAGAATCCGAGCCCTTTTCACTTCGTATTTATTTCTGTCGTGAATGCGTCGTGAAACCTTCCGACCTTCAGCGATGCTCAAGACAGTCGAGGATGAATCCTCCATTCCTCCGCTTTTCAGCACTGTCACCGGTGATTTAAGGAGAGGGGTACGATGAAGGTATTGAAATTTTCTTCTTATTTTCTTTAGCTCCTTCTTCTTCTTTTTTTTTTTTTTTCGTTTCGTTCGTTTGCTTCGAGAAGGAAGGCGAGATGGGAGGAGGAAAGAAGGAGAAGGAGCGTCGTCGTCGTCTTAACCGATCGAGAGAAGATCGAGTTTTTGAAGACTAATTGAAGAACATTTGTTGCAGAGAAGCGAAGGAAGACGAGCGAAGAGTTCGAAGGAAAAGGAGATGTTTGTTGGTTTTCAGGGAATGATTTCGAGAGCGAATAATCGATAAGATTAATCAGATGAGAGGTTTGCGAATTAATGATTATAATTGTACGAATTGTTTCCACTGTGTTATACACCGAGATAAAATAATCAACGATGATTAATATTCATTCAAGTTATTCGTTCAATTGTTCGTTTAAACATTCGGTTACTATTTCACGGACACACTTTATATTCATTTCTTTGTCATAGAGTCGTGTAACGACCACGATATATCGATCGCCACGATATTTAATTCATGAACCGCGCTATAAGTGTATTTCGGATACGGAATTATTTCGAGATCAAATGGAGGAGAAACTCTTCTATACGCGTTTATAAAAATCTCGAAAGGATTTAATTAAAAACTGGATGGAAAGATAAATTATAAAAATTTCGAAAGATTTGGAACTTGAAGTTAATACAATTTTGGCTGAGAACGTTTTTGGAGAAACTGGCTTAAATATATACGAGATATACGAGTTATCCTCTGCATTATCATAATTCTATTGTTCAAATGCAATCGATCAGCGTCCCTATATAATTACAATGGATACATTATACGGTCAATATCAATTATATCGAATCACTTTCACAATAACATTATACATTTACATAAAATGAAAATAAAACTAAAAAATAACCTGTTCGTTTTTAAAATGCGTACACAGACATCTAAATCAAACATTGTTAATTCATCACAATTCTGATATTTCTATACATATCAGAGAAACGGTATCAGAGAGTACACAAAACACTTTTTCTTAAGTTAAAATCTTCAGCGTGGCATAGCATTGATTCGCCGAGAATAAAAGTGCTATGCACACTCTTGGAACAACGGATGGCGGAAACATTTTCGTCACGGAATCTTTCAAATCCATCGATACAGAGGGATTCTAAGGTCGAAGAAAAGAACTCGCGACGCGGGAAAAGTGTCCACGTCACGGCCACGTTCAATTCCGCCCGTGAAACGGGGACGAATGATCGCTCGAAACGCTCCCCCAGGAGGATTTAAAGGAAAATATCCGAGATGTCTGCTTTATCCTCCCCTACCCTACCGATTCTCAGGAGGAGAATCGCGCCTTCAGTTTCCTCCGCAGTTTTCGAACGTGTATGCCCCTGATTTTTATCTCCTCCCTTTCGAGCAACCGTTTTCCTTCCTGGTTTATCGTCCACTGTCCACGACAACACCCGTTTCATCGGTTGTTCCATCGAGTGTCATTTCGTTTTTGTCTTGTTTCGTTTCTGTCGTTCCATCTGTGGATTTACAGTTTGATTGAATCCGTGAAGATTTATTAATTATTTACGTTTATTTGTTATGGGAAATTTGATTTCCATTACGAAATATTTTGTTTGTATTCCTCTCGATTGCTTTATTGCGGATATATTAAGGACAAAGAACGTCATCTCGCGTGAAAGAGAGGAGGAGGTATGCTCGACGGGCGATAATTTTTTAATTACCATCCGTGTCCCTAATTATTAGTTTTCACGTTCCGGCTGGCTGAGTATCGCGATTCGATAACGATGAGGGTGGATCATCATCGATCGCCACTCTGCTCTAACGAGCGAGTGGAGGAAAGAAGGGGGAAGGAAAAAAAAAAAAGAAGAGGGAAGAAAATGTGTTAACGAAGATTGCACGAGGAAGTGGCAGGTTCGCGTAGTTGGATGTGATCTTCGAGAGATCAATTTGAATGAATATATGTAATAATGTAACGGATGTAAGTGTCGTTAAAAAATATCTATAAAAATCTGAATAGATTTCAAAAGATTTTTTAGAAAATTTAAGAAAAGGAAAAGAAAAAAGGATACGATTATTGATCAAGTTAGAGATTATTGAAACGAAATATATTTGAGGGAATTGTGTCCTTTATCGAGGAAGAAAATTGATATCTTCCAGAAGAAGAAGAAGAAATATAAGAAAAGAAGCGACGAGATATAAATTTTATCGAAGCAAATGTTATTTGTTGCCAAGAAAAAAAAATCTATTCGAAACTCTCGAAATCGTAGAAAATCTGGAGGGAAGACGCATCACGATTGATAGAGTGGAGGATGAAACAAAAAGGCGGGAAAGACGCGACGAGAACGCGAAAGTGTCCTCAATTTAGGGCTTCCGGCTGCCACAAACAAAACACTTTTCAGAAGGAAGGGGTCGAATGAAAGTATGGCTGCGAGCGATACGAAGGCGACGAAAAGGGTCGAGCACTTAATTAATCGAAACTCGACCGAGGGAGATTCACAAACAATATTCGAAGGGACCCCCAGCAGACGTACGTGACCCTCTAACTTTTGCTCGCGGCCTATCTTTCTTCGTTTTCCCTTTTTCCCCAACCAACCTCGTCCCGAATACGTAAATATTCGTAAAATATTCCCAATTTATACTCGATTATGACGAATATGCATACTCACTCCGTCCACTATTCGTACAATATTTTTCACGTATTTATAGTAATAATTAGATCGTTCCTTTTTCCCCTTCTCCTTTTCGTCTTTTTCTCCCCTCTTTCTCTTTTGCCTATGCTTTTGCTTTCGTTCGATTTCAGTCCGATAAAAACTCCCATAAATTAAAATTCCTAACGATTAATCACGCGTTTACACAAAATACAAAAATTTCCTCCGGACTCGATACCATTGAATTCCACCTTAAAATAAAAAAAAAAAAAAAAGAAGAAAATCGAAATCCAATTTCAATCTCCTCAACGTGCAAACTATCAACTAATAAACAACAACAACAATAACGAAAGCATCGTCGCAAATCAAACATCCGTGCAATAATCATTCTCTACTAAAAAAAAAAAAAAAAAAAAAAAAAAAAAAGTTTAACATTCCCTCCGAAACCTTCATCAACTCTAAATTACCAATTCCATTTCGAGCGTCGAATTTCAACGTGAAATCCCCTCCCTCGTCCCCCCGAAATACATTGTTCCTGATGAACACAGCCGAATTTCACCGAGTTGGGAAGGGGTGCCCAAAATGCACCGATGACGCGTGCACAAAACGGTGTCTAGTATCTCTTAACAGTAAGGCCGCCGATCGCGCGTGGGCGGACGATATACAGACGCGCAAGGGGGTGGTGGGGGCATGGTGGTCGGCGGGCGGCTAATGGCACGTTAATTAGTTGCACGTGCTGATCGTTATAATTACCGATAACAGCAACATTTTAATCGGCGCCCCCGCGCGTTTAAATAACCGCGTTGAAATTTGTGGCCGTTGTTTACGATCCGTTTGGCCGGTTTTTCGTATTAATTTCCGCTAACCTCCTTCCCCTCCCCCCTCTCCTCCTCCCCCCCGCGCGAAAATTGCCCCCATAAATTCGGTATCGTACCCATTGGAGGGGATGCGATACAATTCGCCGTGCGACCCCGATAATTCACCAAATTAATATCGAGCCATAAGTCTTTGTGATTCCTCTCCCTCTCTCCCTCCTACGTACGCCAATTTTCTACAACCGGGGGTCGTTGAAAAATATATTCAACCCCCTCCCCACGCGATCGATGTTGCTTTTTTAACTCGATATAACTCTTTGTTTTGGATTCGACGGAAATTTTTCGTTCTGGAGTGTAATTTTTACGAGATTGGGACTTCGGTATTTATGTGAATTCTCAGTTCTTTTTCAATTTAAAATAAAATAATATCTTTTAATATCAAGGTTCGAAAACTTCGAAACTAACGAAAATTTCTAAAATCTTCGCCACATCTTTCGAAACCTGAGAATACTGACACTTCTAAAAAACTTACTCTTTCCACACAACTTACTCTTTTATTTCAAACTTGTATATCCCTTCTACCAAAAAAAAAAAAAGAAAAAAAAATTCCCAAAATTACCCTTCCCCCTTCAAAACGAAAAGGAAAATCTGAACCGCCATCGTGACAGGGGGGTGGCCACGACACGACGGCTTTCACTTAGCCGCAGAAAAATGCAGCTCGTGTCGTTGGCCCCGTACCAAGTTCCCCGCGGCCACAATAGGCATCCTTGCTTCCCACTGGATATATATATATATATATATAGGCAGATAATTTCCACCCGCTCATTCTCATCCCATCCTCCCCCACTATTCCACACGCGCACACACACACACACACACACACACCTCTGGAAAACCTACACACAACACACATCACGCGTTATACGTATCTCTCGACGGATGCACAGGAAGGATGATAGTCGTCCGGTGGAGAGACATCGATGACACTATACATATTGACAAGACACTCGAAACCGCCTGACTGGGTCCTCGCCCTCCTCGCCAACCAACCTATCCTGTCCTATCCCCGCGTGCATCCGTCCTTCCTTCCCTGTCTCTCTTCCTCCATCTCCATCCGCGGCAGCCAGCCGCGTAACAGCGGGACGAGGCGCCCCGTGCCGATGGATCGTTACTTTTTTTCGATTCGAGAGACCGGGAGAATCCTGGAGAGTGGTGGGTGGAGAGGCTGCATCGATCTCCGAACGCGGTGAACTCGAGCTTAAACTGTCACCGGCTGTCGATACCGTATCGGGGGAGGAGATTCTCTTTTTAGCGAGCAGTTGCCAAATGTTTGGATACCAGGTCCGAAATCGAAGCTTGTTTTTTCCTTTTTTTTTTTTTTTCCTTTTTTTCGATAGAAGACAGAAGAAGAGTTTTTCGAGAGTTTTTTCGAAGAATTTTATTTCGGTTGGATTTTCTTATTTTGTTATCTTGTTGTTGTTGTTTTGTTTGGGGGAAGGAGGAGAGGAGAGGAGAGTTTCGATGTACATGGTTCTTGCAACGGCGTAATGAAGTTGATCTTTGTATTTTTGGAAATCGTTTTAATATTTTTTTCTTTTTAAATGGAGGAAGTGGAAGAGGGTTTGGATTTTATATGAATTTCGATGTGCTTTTTCGAGAGAATAGAAGAATTGCTTTTGAAAGATGTTTTCTTTTATCGAGAGAAGAGAAAAGTCTAGGGATTAAGTTTAAATTTGTGTATGTTTTTTGGAAATTTTTATTCTTAAATAACGTGTAATTCTTTCGCTGCATTATACACAGGATGGACAGTATTTAAGAACAGTTTACAAGTACAATTAATCACGATGTAATTTTTTTTTTCTAAAAAAAGAGGCTTGATCTCTTTTTGATATCGTTTTGACGCGAAGAAAAAAATGATTTCAGCAACTTTGGCTATAGTTTTTATTCGCGCGAGAACGGAGCGTTGAGTATGCACTTTATCGGTTGCCATTGTACTCACAATCGTTTTTCCAACTTTTATCGCGAACAACATGATAAACGACACGATATTTTATAAAAGTTAAATGTCGACGTTGTAAATACGTACCGCGGAGGCGCTCCTCAGATATCTCCAACAAAAGTACCGTCGTAGATTATAAAACTAAAAGCTCGGAGAATTCCTCCCCCCCACCATGAATTTTGTCTGGGGACGCAAATGCACATTTTTCGCGCCATACATTTTATTTTTTACGCCCTCGTCGAAAGATTTGACCCTTTGCAAAGATCCCTTTCCATATTCACCATTGTGCATCATCTCTCCTGCATTCTCGAAACAATTTTAAATATGGATTAAACGAGATTCTCCGATTAACCGAGCATCGACTTTTTACCAGTACTGCACATTTGCACATACATCGTCGTGATTACATCCAATTAACGTACAATAAATCACTCTATACAGGTAGAAAACCGTGGGATGGAAAAACGAGACGCGCATATTTGCCCTACAATCAGTTAATTAATTGATTCAACACAATTAATTTCATTATATTAATCCGGCAAATATCATTACACGATGAAAATTCTCAATTCTCCTAACCAATTCAACCATCATGTTGAACCAAATTTATTTAAACCCTCTCGACGTATCCTTCCCCAAATTAAAAATTAAAAATCTCCGACAACCTTTTCCCTTTCTCTCTCTCCCATTATAAAATAAACCCTAATACAATAATACCAAAATAAATTTTCCACGTGTAAATAATATTTTCATTCGTTCCATTCGAACGACACGTTCTCCTTCCATGTTCTTTTCATAATACGAACATCAACGTACGATTAATCTCCAATGCAACAACAACTACCTCAACTCCTCTCCAACGAGGCCAACATTAACTTTCCCCTATCCGACGAGCATCGCGTTTGCTCGCGTACGATTCGTAGCAGCACGCAACGAAAAAAAAAAAAAAAAAGAAGAAAAAAGTACGATATTTGCGAACGTTCGCACGGAAGCCTAAATACGAGATCGAACGAGAGAGGGAGGAAGGGAGGGAGGTAACGAGAGTGAACCCGCACGGCGATAAACCGCGGGACAATGGCACGCGTTTATTCCACAATGCCACTCGAAAACTACGAGTGCAACGATACGGGAGGCCCGACGAGACAATGCGTCTCTAAACAATAGCGATATCTTTCGGCCAATTCAGAGAGTCGAAAGAGTCGATGATGGAATAGCGATTGTTCGAGATGGGGTGGCCGCGAATCGTTCCTCCCGCGGAGTCTGTCGATCACTAAATTGGAAGCGTCCCGTATCGATTATACGAAAGGGTTAAAATTAATCTTTTCTCGAAGCAACCATCTCTTGATTGAGGAACAGTATATGATTGTTCGACGAATTTTCGAGTTTCGAGGATGATTTTGAAGAGGGAGTAGTCGCGAGATTGGATTGAAAATCTTTGTTCGAAAATTGGAACAAGATAATTCAATTTGGTATATTTAAGCGAAAGAAAATTATCCAAATTAATAGAAATCTTTGAAATTATAATCGTATGTCCAATTCCATTTCAATGTTCTTAATCAGATAAGTATTCCATTCAACCTCACTTTTCCTCAATTGTTTTTATCACGTTTTTATTTTCGACTCGTGGAAAATTCGTTTCAGTATCCATTCCCAAAAATGAAGAGACGCGTAATAAAACAGAACAGAATGGAGGTCGAAAATCGGCAAACCGAGTCTTCTCAACCAACGATAAAAGAAGGGATGAAAAGCTGGACGAAAACTAAGCCACGGGAAGGTTAGTTTCCTCATAACGCTAACGGCTCGAGTCTAAAAAAAGGAAAAAAAAAAAAGGCCGGTCAAATATTTACTGGGACTTCCCCAACGGCCCCTTTAATAAGTTTTTTATTGGACTTCCACCCTCCTTCCACCACCCCCTCGGCTGGTATTTGCACGCGCTCGATCGCCCTCTCCCCCCTCCTCTTTCTCTGAATCTTCAAGCCGGCGGGCTGACAATGAACTTGCCTCGGTTGGCGGCCGGCTGCTCGCGTTCCTCGATCATTCTCGAGGCAGCTGGCGCGAGGAGGGAATGCGAGTTGATTGGCCGTAGAAGCATCTCCGGGATTTTCGTTGTTTGAACGAGAGATATAAAGCAAACATCGCCATCATTCCGTCCAATCGGCCGGAAGGGATTGTGCGTTTTTTAATCGGGGACGATGAATTCGTTTTGTTTCGTTCGAAGGAAGGAAGAGAGGGCGCGTTTGATGCACGTTGATGCGAGCATTTTGAGGAGGAGCATTGGAAGAGAAGAAAAATGTACGTTTGAATAGAATCGCAGAGGAATAGAAATAATCGTTGTGATTACTTTTTTTTTTTTTAATTGAGAGAAAGTTTGGAAGAATTAATTTTATTTGATTGAG